GTACAAGTATAGAGAAAAAAAGGGAAAACAGCTTGCGGTTGCTGAGCTGCCGAGTGCCAGCATGCTCCTGCCGTCCATGTGTAGCGACGGCGAGGTGGGGGTGAACATGTGGGGTCCTGTGCCTTTAGCGATGACGAGTTGTCTCCACTTTAACGGAATGATTGTTTGCCACTTTTAATGGAGTGGAATGATCGAGAGGATGACTTGTACTTGCAAAGGCCTGTGGATGGCAAAACGCCGGCCTCCACTGAGGCCGTCTATCTGAAGTTCTCTTGTTTGTAGACCTCTGGTGGGACTTTGTGTGGAGATAACTTTCAGCAATTGTAGGACCATTTTTCTTTCCTTCCCGTTTTAAACTCTTTATTTGTGTTTCTGGCCTTCACAATTTGACCAGAATGACGTTGGAATGCCAGGGGGGGCGGTGGTGCAATCTGTCCCCGTGTGAGTGCACACACACATTGGTACACAATCACGGGACATGGAAAGCATGTACACGTAGGCATACGGAGGCAGAGTGATTTCTGCTGTTGCCACAACCTCGATAGCATGTTCACTACTGTCTTCACCCGAATAGAACACACTGTCATTATAGCTGTTACTTTCAGTCTAGAGTCAGTGATAATGACTGTATGTTCTATTTGGGTGAAGATGGGAATGACACAATGTGATCTGTTGGCCTGTTGTTAATCTTAAGATCAGCTGTATTTCTAGATTTTTGGACACCGTAGCTCAGAAAGATCTCATGCTGTTGTTGTTTTGGTGTATTTAGAAGAGGAGTAAGGGGAAAAACCCGTTGGAAACCGTTGGACACTGTGTACTCTTTTACTGACATCCACCAAAGTCCATCAACAGAAAAGACCCCCATCGAATATGGTGGAGGCTTGTGACTGTCAATCCGCTTATTAGAGTAATTCATCAATTCGCTTAGAGTCAGGGTAACCGGCGTTCGGGACGGGCTGAACGCCCGAACCCGAACGCACGAACATACGGGACCCCTTGGGGATGCGTTCAGCCGTTTGGGCCGAACGGGGACCAAAAAAAAAAAAAAAAAAAAAAAAAAAAAAAAAAAAAAAAAAAAAAAAGGAGAGGTGTAGAAAAAGTACCCGGGGT